CAAAAGCTTATAAATTTGATTAGGTCCCATTTGTTTATTTTTGCTTTCATTTCTATTTATTCTATTTATTTTTTATTGCCTTGGGAGACTGACCTAGGAAAACACTGGTAGGATTTTTGTCAGAGAATGCTTTGCCCAAGTTCTCAGAGATGAGTTTATTGCTGACAGATATGTAGCTCCCTCATTCTCATTAAGGGACGTGTTTTCAGGGACACACATTTAAAAACCAGTTAGTTTAATGATACATACATCATGTGTAAAATTCTGAAATATTCCATACATACAATAGGATTATATATAATGCAGAAAGGTATAAAGAAATCACAAAGGGAACACCTGTGTAGTCACCGTCCAGACTGAGAAGGATTGTCACCAATGCCATGATGCATTATGTCCAGTCCCCCCAGTTTGCATCTCACCCCACTGAACCCCATCCACTCCCACCGGGGAAAAACCACAGGACTGAACTGGGTGTTTATCCATTTCCTTCTCTTTCCTACAGGTCTGCCATGTATGAGTGTACCTCCAAAACTGTTATTCGATGTTGGATATTTAGGACTTTATATAAAAGGAGCCCCCAGTGTGTTGTCTCCCTGCAACTTGCTTTTTTTGCCTCACATTTTGGGAGATTCATCCACGGTACTGCAAACAGTTGTGGTCTGCCCATTCTCATTGCTGGGTAATATTCCATCATATGAACAGACCAATACATATTTATTTCTTTTCCCATTTGGAGGAACCGACAGGGGTTTCCTGTTAGTACTTAGGTTGTTTCCATGATTTTGCAATATAAACAGCGCTTCTGTAAACATTCCTGCAGAAGTTTCTGGGCACCTTGCAAGAATTCTAGGTACATCCTTGGGAGTGAAATTCCAGGGTGAAAGTTTTACACATCTTCAACATTACTGCAGAACACCAAACTGTTTTTCAATGTGGTTGTACTAATTGACTGCCTCCTCCTTTACCTCCCCGCTTCCCCTCCAGCTGACTCAATTTTGGTCATACATGGTACTGAGTAGCTTTAATTTTTAATCAGTCTGGTTTGGTGTTTTTTTTTGTGTGTGTAGTAAAATATACGTCACCTAAAATTTACCATTTTTCATGATGACTTCTACCTTTAAAAAAAGTAAAAATTCACCATCTTAACCATTTTTAGGTGCATAGTTCACCGGCATTAAGCACATTCACACTGTTGTGCAGCCATCACCACCATCATCTCCAGAACTTTCCATCTTCCCCAACTGAAACTCAGTCCCCAGTAAACAGTAACTCTCCATTTGCCAACCGCAGCCCCTGCCACACTCCGCTCTGCTTTCTGCCTCTGTGACCTCGACCCCTCCAGGGACCTCATGTGAGTGGATCAGACAGTGTTTGTCTTTCTGTGTCTGGCTTATTTCACTCAGCATCATGTCCTCAAACTCCCTCCATGCCGAAGCACTCAGTTTTAATTTGGGCTCCACGTCCTACAGCGATGTGTGTCTGTGCGTTTTCAGAAGGGGTTGGTTAGAGGACCTGCCCCGCAGGAGCTGTGCAACCTGTCTCTGTGTGGCTCTTGTGTGCTCATCTGGTGCTGAAGCTTGCAGACCACAGGGGATGATGACATGTTACTCTGCTCAGGATGCCGCAACAAAACCCCACAGTCTGGGCGGCTTAAACAGGAGACATTTACTTTCTCACAGTTCTGGAGGCTGGAGGCCCAAGATCAGGATGCCTGGCTGTTGGGGTCCTGGTGAGGGCTCTCTTCCTGGCTTGCAGACAAGTCCTCACGTGGCCTGTCCTCAATGCATGCACACTGAGAGAGAGAGAAACAGACAGACATAGGCACATACAGACAGAGAGATCGAATCTTCTTTCTGTAAGGCCAGCCGTCCTGTCAATCACCAATCTACCCTTGATCTCATTAAACTCTGATTAAGTCCTGTCTCCAAATACAGTCACATTGGGGTTAGGGCTTCATCGTATGAATTTGGGGCGCACGGCTCAGTCCACAAGCGGAGTAAGTGCGGGAGGGCAAGGACAAGCTGGAGCCCTTACAGGTGAGCTGCAGCCCACCAGGTCGCACTGCTGCCCTAACCTTGACCAAGCTGTCCTGCAGAGGCTGGGGTGGGGTTCACCATCACAGAGCACAACACACGCAGCCTGGAGTCACAGAAGCCGGAGGATCAGGGGAAAGGACCTGGCCACTGCCTTGAGCAGGGAGGTGAGCCAGCTGAGCAGCAACGAGTGTGGAGCAAACACTGGCCCTGATTCACTCTGTCCGCCAAGCCTCCCAAGGGCTCATGGCCCCAGCTAACCAGAAACGCATGTGAAAGGGATTCTAGTGGGGCTGTCCCACTGCAAAGCCACCCCGTCATCTAAACATTCTAGTCCTTTATTCTCACATGTGATCTTTAATTTACCCGAATTGATTTGCGTGTTTCACATGATACAGGATTCTAACGTCAGCTTTTTCCTCCTGGGTCATGAGATTTCCCATTAGGCGTCTCCACTGGCCTGTATGCCCCTGAACATTTCATGCTTCCGTACGGAGACGGCTCTGTGTCCAGGCTCTCTGTCTCTTCCCATTCACTGTTTCCTCTTCTCCCTACATTAATACCCTGAACAGCTTTCTGCCATAAAGTCAGGAGGCTCAGTCTCCTTCATTCTGTCTTCCAAGTGGGACAGTTTATTAATTTAGCCAAACCAGCTTCCTTTTACATATGTCCATTCTACATGGGTCTCATAAATTGTATATTTCTGTCTTTAAATATTAGACAATCTGATAATCTATATCTTTCAAAAAATCTATAAATATTATCTGGACAGTGTGGAGTATTTACATGTGTTATGAATTACATTCCACTAGACAGGCTTAGAGTTTGCTTCTGCCATGTGCCTGGGACATCACCAGTCTGGGACCACTTTAGATTAAATTCTTGACTTGATGTTCCTCTGACTACAGAGATAGTGGGGATTCGGGTGCAAAACTTAAATTCTCATAAGAGGGCTTGTGGTAGTTATAAATTCTCAGGAGAGTGTTAGTGCTGCTCCACTGAGAGCTGAGACTAAGAAATGGAAGTGTTTACTGGTCATCACCTGTCAGTGGGATAGATACATTCTTAAAAAATCATCTTCTTTTTGAGGGCAGGGCTTTTTGGTGCTGACTTGGTGCTGTGGTGCCAGAACAAGCCCCCCCCCGCCCCCGCCCCGCTGAGGACTGTGACGTTGTCATTCACCCTCACCCTCTGCAAGACAGAAGTGGCTGGATGATTTCAGGATCTCACAGCCACCCTGACTTCCCCATATGGGTGCTCCCGCTTCACTTTTGCATCTGAGGATTTGCCAAGTTTTCTTGCAAAATCATCTGTAACTTTAAAAGATTTTCAATAGTATATATTCTATCAAGTTCTGTTGTCTGTTTCCTAGTGTGGACAGTATTTCAGGATGTCTAGTCTGCCCTACAGCTATGAAGAGAACTCTGTTGCTTGTTTTTTTTTTAATATCTAATAATACTGTTCTGTTTTCACTGTGTTACGGCTACTCCCCTTGGTCAATAATTCTGATTTCCACTTGTATTCATGAAAGAAGTGGGGAAGGGGGCTTACTTCAGAGTTGGTTTGAGTCAGTGGTTGGATGATGTCATCAAGAGCTGGGTTCCCTGTCATTGCTATGCTATGGGGTTTGATGGAGGAGCCATCTTTATCCTGGTACTCGCTGCCTGGTGATGGGAAGATGGCTAGCAACATTTCTGAGATGACTGGCTGCTTCTTTCTCCCAGCACAAGGAGGAGGGTCTCTGGAAGCTCCCATAGAAGAGTGAAAATACACCATCCTCCCCACCCGACCCCACGCCAGGAAACCTCTCTTCCAGGTCTCACTGGCCAAAAGCGGGTTGTGTGTTTATCCCTGAAGCAAGCATCCTGTCAGGGAATGGGCTTAAGCTGCTGAACCAGACACTGGCCACAGGCCCGCTGCTAGCACCGGGATGGAGCTGGCTCCCCAAGTCGGTGCTCTACTCCTGGGAGACGTGTATACCTCCAAACAGTTCCAGAAAGTTGCCAAGAGAAGGGGATGTGAATAGTGAGAGAACAGCCACAAGAGGGATGAAGGTGCGGACACATATACAGCCTGGTGGACAGGTGGACACTGGGGTTCTATGGAGCAATGGTGTCATTTGGAGGGCTCCGAACATGCTACTCAAAACATAAATAAGTGAGTCACTACCAAAGACCCCCTGACCTGACCTATCTGCAGGAGACAGTCCTCAAGGGTCTTCTGCTTGGACAAACGTGACACCAGTGAAGGATGAGAGATGAGAAGGACTGGGGCATGTGCCGGAATGTCCCCTGTGGTGGATCTAAGGGTGGGAGCCAAAGGAAAGGATGCGAAGAACTTACTAGGGAAGTCCAGCTCCCAGGACACCTGCTCAGGAAGGAGCGCTGAGCCAACGCAGCAGGTGATTTGGAATGAATTCAGCTTCCTTTCTCTTCTAAAGCAATCCACCTTAATTTACGTATTGCAAACAGCATTGGAAAGAGCCTCTTAAGGATGATGGAAAAGCCATGCCTTCTGAACGAAGATTCCTCTCACCCTCTTTCCTCACCCCCTGTTTCTCGTCTTAGGTGGGCGGGAAGACTTCAGCCACTCTTGGGGTTGTTCCCAGGGAGGGGGAGGGGCTTGGGACCTGAGGGCAGAGAGATGCCGCCCCAGCGGACTGCGGAGGGTCCTTGGCGCGAAGGGCTCCGGCCTTGGGCTCTACTGCCCGGGCCAGCGGTCCCTGGGCGCAGACTCCTGGGTCCTCGCCTTGGGCACAGAGGCCCTGCGGGAGCCAAGACCCCGCCGGCCCATACAAGACTTGATCAGCGCCCCCAGGATCCCCCTCCTGAATCCAAACTCGACTCCTCGGGCCGCGAAGCGCCGCGACCTGCTCGGCCAGGGAGGAGTACGGCGGGAAATGCCCTCTCCCCAACCCAAAACTGCCCGCCGGGGACGGAAGCGGCCTCGGAACTCCCTCTGGGTCCGGCCAAGGTCCCGGCCGGGCTTTCCCTGGGGGAAACTCCTCCTCCCGCAGCCCCCTCCCTCGCCCCGATCCGCCCCGCCCGGGACAGCCGTTCCCGTCCGTCCCCTCCCCCCGCCCGAGGTGACCCGGGACCGGCGCTTGGGGGTGTCTCCCTGGGTACTCGGACACCGCCTCCCGGGATTAAAGCGAGAGCCGGGGAGGATCGGGGACTCGGCGCTGGGCAGAGGAAGACGCGAACCCGGCGGGGAGGCGGAGGAGGAGGAGGTGGAGGAAGGGTGAGGGGCAGGGAGCGCCGCGCCCCGGAGCTCCGCAGGTAAGCGGCTCGCGCCGTGGGTTCCCTGCGCAGGGCTGGGGGCAGGGGGTCCCGGGAGCAGGGGAGAACCTGGGCGCCCGGGAGCGACCTAGCCGCCGCCCCGCGCTGGGTGGGAGTAGCAGCAGGTGAAGCCAGGTGTGAGCAGCTCCAGCCCTGCAGGCGCGTCCTCCCACCAGCCGGCGCGCGGGGCCGAGCCGGGCAAGATGACCTCCGTGGGGCCTGGAGGGTTCCGCGCGCCTGGGAACCCCTTGGCGCGCCGGTCAGTGGCCTCTGGCTGACTCGTTGGCATCGCTTGCCTCGGGCAGGCTGCCCTGCGGGTCCTTAGCCAACTGGTCGGAGAAGAGAGTGCCTCCGGGTCCCTCAGGGTGGGTCCCCTCGGCGGGACCCGACTCAGCTCCACCTGCTTCTGCGGGACCGGGGATGCGCCTTTTCCCCTGGGGACGAGTGAGAGGGGGGAATTGTCGATTCGCTTCTTTGTTTCGGGAAAATCTCTGCAGTCCCGGAGTGCTACCTGAACTCCTTCTGCTTCTTGGTTCCCTCCCGAAGTGGGGAGAAACTGGAAACTCGCTGAGATGCCGGGAGCGATACGGGCGGCGCGGCGGGGACGGCGGGGACAGGCCCGAGGGACTCGGGGCGAGGTGCGAACCGCTCAGCGGCCCCGGGGAGGGACTGCCCACGGCCTGGGCCCCGTTGCCGCGACCCGGAGGCGATGATCAGAGCTGGGCCACCTGGGCAGCGGGCACCGGCGGGTGCCTCCCCCCGCCCCCGCCCCGGCCTGGAGGAGTGGTCTTGATCCCAAGGCGCGCACTTCCTGCCAGGGACGAGGCCGGGCACCCGGGCTCTGCGGTCCACCGCAAGCCGTCCGGCAGGACGCGGGACGGTGGACTGGCATACTAGCGCACCAGCCTGTCAGTGGGCGCCCTGCCCGCGGCTGCACGGGCCTTGCTGAAGAATTGCCTTATGGCCCCAAATTTCGTGCTTCCACTCCCCAGGGGGCCTGGTTGCTGGTGGCGAAAGACATTGGCTGGAGCCCCGGCATTTTCGTGCATGGAGCCTTGAGCCCATGCGGCCAAGGGCCCGCCTCGCTGGAGGGCACAGAACGGTGATTCTGAATCAAGATTACTGCCTCTGAGGCACAGGCCGCGCCGGCGAGCCTGGTCAGGTGGAATCCTAGTGGATCGCTTGAGACGGAAAGGATAGCCACCCGAGGTCCGCCTGGTGGGCAGGGGTCACCCAGGGCTCGGCCTCCAGGCTTCGAACCCCCAACCTCCATTCAAACAGGCGCGGTAGCCCCGGGGCTCAGGAAGGAAGGGGGCACGCAGGTGAAGCGCTGATCCCTGCACTCCTGTAGTGAGCCGCCCGAATAATGGAAAATTACAAAGGCTGCTAAGGAGAGTTCCAAGGTGTTTAGCAAACCTGAAGTGAGAGGAGGGTTGTTGACTTAGCCTGGGAGGTCGCGGAAGGCTCTCCAGGAAGTGAGGCTGGCGCCAACGTCTCCCAGAGAAGGGGTGGCGACTGGACGCGTGGGCAGCGCTTACCAAGGACAAGGAGCCTGGGGGAACCTGCGTTGCTGCTGGAGAGGGGGGCCTGGTGGGCCAGGTAGGGGGGAGCCCCCAGGGAGTCACTGGAGGGGCGCTCTTAGCTTCCTCAGCTTTATCATGTGGCGCCTGCCTGCGTCCCCCAACCCCACCGACCTTTACTGGACCAGTGAGGTCAGAATGAAAGGCCCCGGCACCACCAGGAAGCGCTGGACACAGGAGTCAGGGGGCTGAGGTGGGGGCCTCTGCCTGGAGATTGACCATCAACACCTCCCTCTCTGGTTTTAAAAGTATCAGCTGGTGAGCAGCAGGGCCCTTGGTTCTGTTCGGTCTCCAGCTGCATCTGCTACTGACACTGCAAGGTCAGCCCTCTAACAGGGATGTGTCGTTGTCTGGGGCCACTTCTAGGGCCTAGCGGAGTGCTTGGAGCTTGGCCCCTTGGTGCCCTGGGCTGCTCCACCCTGGCTCAGTCACCTTACTTGTAGGAGACACTTTGGCCACACTGGTACCATCACGATACCAGTGGATTGGCACTTTCTTCCAGGCAGGCATCATTCCAAGCTCTGTAGAATGGATTTAACTCAGTTGTGTGGAAATTGAGGCAGAGAGCTGAAATAACTTGCCCTATGTCCTGAGACCTGTAGGGAGAACTGGGGATGAAGGCTGGTCATCTGGTTCCAGGGAAGCTGAGTGAGGCCTGGACTCCTCATGTGGTCGGGGCTTGTCCCCAGACAGGGCTGGTTTCCCATCATCCAAGAGCAGGGGCCCCCTTGGGCTCCGATCTGCCCCCTTCCGGTGAGACCTGGGCAGGAGAGCAGGGGATGCTTCACTGGGGCGGCGCAGAGGGCTGACCTCCCAGGTGGTGGGGCTGCAGATGAAAATGTCCTTTAGGCAAGAAAGCCCAGAGACACGAAGAACGCTAAGTGGGTAGTGATAGTCATCATTCTGTAAGTGGCTGACCACTGCTCTGGGCCCAGCCGGGGGTGGGGGTCAACCAGGAAGTATAAAAGTGCGAGCGGTGGCGCTCAGCCTTTTCCACCTAAACCTGTGGCGGGAGTCCCGGGGGCTTTGCTAGCATTTGGGGTCATGGCCCTGCATCAGCCTCTGATGGAATAGGAAATCTCATTTTCTGAGCCTTCCAGAGAATTCCAGGTTTGGGAACCAGGGGTCAAGTCTGAGCCTTGGGCTTGGACGTAGAGAGGAAAGGCGACTGGGTCAACTTAGAGCCTGGTCAGCTTTGCTTACTTAGGGTGTGGACGCCGGCCCTGCTGGTGCGGAGGGTGGAGGAGGGGCACGGGTGCTCTTCGGCCTCTGCTGTTTTCAGGGCTCTGGGCCTCCTGGGATGGTCCTGCTTCCCACAGCTGCTCCTCCTGTCCCCTCCTTTACTTTCCAGGGGCCCTGCCCTTGGGTCTGCCCCAGGATGGGTCGAGTGGCCTCTGGGGATGGGGCGCACGCACAGGTGTCACATGCCTGAGTGCTGAGGTCTGAGTCGGGCCGGCCGGCCTTGGTGAGTCCCTTGCTAGCTGGGTGTTGGGGAGCATTGGCTCGCAAGTCCCCAGGGCTGCAGGCCTGGGCGTGGGGGAGGGGACTCCTGGTGCCCCCCGTGCCCTTGACCATCCTGGTTCCAGATCCACGTGGATTCTTGGGGAGTAGCCAATGGCTCAGCTGATCATGCAGGCAGTTCTGGGGGACACCCTAGAGGCAGAGCTTGAGGTCAGGAAGGAAGGGTAGATGATCTGAGACTTGGTTTGCCCCGGCCACTGGACAGAGGTCAGGCGAAGAGGATTGGGAGCGTGGAAATGTCGTGGGCAGCCTAAGAGGCACCGAGGGAGAATGGCAAACCCTGATTTTCTGATGGAGGTGTGGGCAGTTCCTTGGACTGTAAACACTGTGGAATTTGAAGAAGGAAGGTGACTTAAGCATGCTTTTTCTCTTGTTAGAGGTGAAGAAGGAGGGAAGGACTTGCTGTATAGGTGGAAACTCCAGTCATTTCGGTTGTGTGTACAGAGTTAAGCCATCAGGCATTGGTGCGGGGAGTTGGAGGTGCAGGAGGGGGTGAGGATGCAGAAATGCGATAAGAAAGCACGGAATGTTTGAAGGCACCAAGTGAAGCCTGGAAGCTGAGGCAGGGTCTGGCTGGACGGGGAGCTCAGTCAAGGAGGACTGGGAAGAGGGGCCGTGGCGAGCCAGTAGACGTTTGTTAGGAAAATATTTTCTAGTGACTCCGAATTGGCAGATGAAACTAAGGCCCGGTGTTAATGATCGCTTGCTGACGCGTGGCCCGGCGTTAGAGTCCCTTTAAGGCCCTTGCTTCCCGAGGGCCTTCCCGGCAGCGCGCACACCTGGCCTCATTTGAGACTGGATCTGAACTCCGGACGTGTGGAGTTCATTCTTCAAGTTCTAAATCACAGGGAATAAAGGAACATCATGTCTGGCCTCGCAGCTCGAGCCCAGTTTGGTTCTAGAATGTGCTTGAGAAACGATCTTCCAGGCCTGGAGCAAACTTTCCTTGGTTTGAGGAACTCTGTTTCTTCCAAAGCAACCCAGTCGATATTGAAACGTTCTCATTGTTGGAAACTTGGTTTCCCTGGATTGAGCTAAACCTGCCTTTCTGATATCGCTGACCATTTTGATGCTGGATTCAGAGTCTGCTTTCCACATGACAGTCCCTTAGCTGCCATCAGTATCTCATTACTGAGGGCTGCCGTGTGTTGGGGTCGGTGCTGGGACACTCACACACTTATCTGTTATGTCCATTTCACTGACTGACCTGGGCAGTTTCTTCCAACCTTAGACAGTGTCCTTTGCACATTGTCCCTCCTGGAGGGACCGGCCCCTCTCTGGCCCACCTGTCACAGTGGCATGCAGTCAGTTTTGTGTACCTGGACCTGTGAGGTCACCCGCATCCTCAATTTGGAGGCTGTTTTTTTTTTTTTTTTTCAGGTGCAGGCTTTCCAGCTCTCTCTCTCTTAAATTTCATCTTACTCATTTGGCCTTTGGGATACCTAAAAAAAAAGGGAAGACTTTCTTTGTATGGTACAAAGCTAGATTTTTTTTAAAAAAAACAAAGGACCAGACCCAATTCCTGCCCTAAAAAGTTTGCAATCTCATTTGGACAATGAGGCATTCATAGAAAAAGAGACCTGGATGAGGCAGGCAGGGCCTCTCCGGAGCTGGCGTGCCCGCCCCGCTGCCCTGTGCCGGTCGCTGTGCGTGCCATTTCTCTGATCGCCTTAGCCTTGTTTATATTGAACTCTTCCTTAAACCCACCACTGTCTGTTAGCTTTCCTCTAGCAGCGCATTTTATCCCCAACAGTCGAGAGCATCTTTACGTATAATGTGATTTTATGCAGTGGTTGAGGTGTCAGTGATCCACTGATCATCCGTCTGCTCATTGGGTAGGGAGTGTCTGTTGCTCCTGCTTGCTGTGGAGTTTGAAGAAGGGGTACCGAATCTGAGGTCAAGGAAGCAGCGTGGGGGGACTCACAGCCCATCACACCTCATCATACTGCCAGCATCTCAAGGCACCTGGAGGGCTCAACTCAGGAGCATGTGCATGAATGGCGGTGTGTGGAGGAGTCAGTGGAGCCTTCATTATAGGGGAAATTCCTACCCCTCTATGTGAGTCAGTGTCTATGAGATTGACCTCATTTGTGTTGGTTTAGTAGTTTTCAGAATAAGCCTCCAGTGTGTTCTGAGATCAGAGGAGTGATAGCGCACGAAGAGACGCCTCTGATTTGGAAATAGTTTCATTACATCAAGGGGTGCAGGAAGGAGGGATGGCCGGCAGGTGACTCGAGGCATGAGTCAGCTCCCCCGAAGGAAAGCCAGAGTGGACAAGACAGCCGTGTTCCGTTGTGTGACTCAGGTGGACGGCGTTGGAGCAGGGCCTTCCCCGGAACAGAGAGGGGGCGGAGCTTCGGCTCGTGTTCTCTCTGTCACTTCAAGGAGAGGTGCGCCATTAAGACTGGCTTTCACGAATCAAAGGCAGTCACCTGTGTCCTTTAACAGATGGGACAGAACATTCGAGAAGCAGTGTTGTCTCTCACCATCCAGGCTGTCTTGCCCCTTTCAGGGACCAGTTAAAGAGACGTGCTGCCTTGTGTGGGCCTGGAATGGCTGGTTTTGAAGATGAGCAGCACAGAACGTGCTCTCCTGGTCTCCTTGGACAGCGGGGCATCTCCCATTGGATCCAGTTCCCAAGGGAGATGCTTCTCCCTTCTTTCCTCTTTGGCCACAGGGAATCAGAGGCAGCACGACTCGCACCTTCTCTCCCAAAGTCCGTGGTGGCGGGTCTGGGCGCGGCCGGTGCTCTGGTTCTAAGGCTCTATGGGCTGTGGGGTCGCTGGATGAGATAGGATTGTGCTGCGATCACTGCTGGCTCCTGGGCTTATACTGGGCCATTCATGGCCACGGCCCCCTGGTGCCCCTTCCTCCCCTGGCTTCCTGGTCTCTAACTGTTAGGGATCTTGAATGAACAGAAAGCATGGATTTCAAGCACTGATTCATTCCTCCCTTCAGAGGGCTCTTAAACTGGGAAAGCAGCCAGTGGTATCGAATTTTCATTTCCTGAAACTTCAACCAAACCTATAACTGGTGAGATAGCTCAGGGGCACGGGGAGCTACCGCCTGAGGGCAGAGAAAGCAGAGGGTGAGAATGCCAACCAGGGCAGGTCTCCCTTGAAGCTGATCTGAGGAAGGTGGAACTTTTCTGCTCAGACTAGAGGACTGCGCTGCTGTCAAGTCTCGGGACCCTCTCTCTTTACAGAGCAGACGTGGGAAAGGTTATTAATATGCCATAATCACGTCCACTTACAGGCTGAAACGTCATGTATGTTCTAAATTGTGATCTCTTCCTCCTATACACAGATCAGGTTTCTTTCCTCATACCCAGCAGGGTGTTGACTCTTTTTTCTAGTCTTAAAAAAAAATCACAAAGCTATCAGTACGAACTGGTCCTTTTATCTTTATTTGAAGAGTTAATAAATGAGCCGGTGCATTTTTCTTGTGACTTGTTCAACAAGGTCTCCCAAGATTAAACAGCCATACTCAATATTTTTATTTATAGCAAGTTGATGTTGGTTTGTTTTTTTTTAAAGTGTAATGAGTCAAATAATAACTTTGCTCGGGAGGCAGAGGGGCAGAGCCGGCTGGCACCGGCTCTGCTGCGTTTGGGCTCCACTGGGTT